GCCGAGAGACGCACAAACGAGCCGCAACGGCTGCGCCGAGGTATCCGTGCTCCAGTGCCTCGGCTGGTGTTGGAGTTGCGCTTGCCCAGTGAGGGAGGCCAGTATACCAGAGGAGGCAGACGATGACTGAGCTCCACGTGTGATAGTTCCTAGTGAGAAAGAGAGGGGCTGTTCATTCGCCAGGTTGACCCGTTGTCGTGCCACGTTGAAATTAAGAGTCTCTAGCAGATGGGCGCGACATGTACCAGCGTGGACGCGGTCGACAGCCGCTTGGAACGCACAAGGATATACTAACACAAGTTGCCCGCCTTGCAGACGTGCGTCCGATCTGAACATATCCACACTCGTAATAGAACCAAAGTGTAGTCTGTCGTTTCCCCGGCGGTGTGGCCAGAAAGCGCCCGGCATGGAGCTTCTACTGTAAGATGTCTCGGCACGCGCGCCGCCCCTGCGGGGGGGGGGGGCTGACGCACGCCGATAGTAGCAGTATGTTGGGGTGACGCCGACCTCCCCAGTCTCAGTCCTCACTGTCATCCTACCAGTCCGATGACAGCGTTCCTTCGCGTGCGTCTGCTGCCCTCCCGCCGATGTGGGCCTTGTTCGGCGGCTATCCCTTGCCGAGCCGTGCTCGGCCCCGCGCGCGCGCGGTCCGGCGGCTCGCCGGAGCAAATCTATCCGCCTTCTTGTCCCGTGCATACCATTAAGTCGGGCCCGTCCCCCTACAGGCCGATCGTCGACGAAAATTAAAGAATTGTCAAAACATGCCCCACTTGTCCCAAACAGAATCCAAAAATCGTCCCCAACTACTATTTTGTCGACTACTGTGGGATACTCCTCCTGCAGAGGGGCAGGCCCGACTTAAGCATACCACCGCGGGTGACCGCTCAAGGCATCCCCCAGTCCCCAGCTCGCGGAGACATCGCGGAGACCTCCTCGCGGGAGGTACAGCCTTCAGTCGGGCCTGTCTCCCTTCAGGGGGATTTTCGACGAACAATAGAAAAATACCCCAAAAATAATCCACAAATAGTCCAGAAATGGTCTGGGGACTATCTTTTGAGTATTTGTTGACTTTTTGGGGGTATCTTTGGGGTACTTTTAATTTCTCGTCGAAAATCTCCCTGTAGAGGGGCAGGCCCGACTTAAGCATACCACCGCGGGTGACCGCTCGAGGCATCCCCCAGTCCCCAGCTCGCGGAGACATCTCGGCGGTGGACAAATCTCCCTTTCGTAAACCTCCCCTTCGTGAAAACGGCCTGGGACCGAAACCCACGGACCTGGACCCGCAAAGATGACGGCCGCGACGCCCTCTGGCGAACCGAAAACGGCCAATTCCTCAATCGACGTGTCAGGGTAGGAGGTCTGTCGCCCCCAATAATAGTCAACAAATAATCCAAAAATAGTCTGTGGACTATTGTTTGAATATTTTCTAACCTTTTTGGCGCAGTTTTGGGGTATGTTAGATTTCTCGTCGAAAATCCTCCTGTAGGGGGACAAGGCCCGGAAGGAGGAGGAGGAGGAGGAGGTATAGCCCCCCTGGTGGTGGCGCCGCGCCTCCGTCCCCCGACCGCGCAGGAGGCAGCCCCCGCGCAGCGCAGCACGCACCGCGACCACGCCGTCGACGACGCCGCCGCCGCCGTCGACGACGACGAGGACGACGACGACGACGACGACGACGAGGACGAGGACGACGACGACGACGACGACGACGACGACGACGACGACGAGGACGACGACGACGACGACGACGACGACGACGACGAGGACGACGACGACGACGACGACGAGGACGACGACGACGACGACGACGACGACGACGACGACGACGACGACGACGACGAGGCGCGCTCACGCCGCACCAGAGCACGGCCTCCCCCCGTAGAGGGACCCCAGAATGGGGACGCGCCGAGGACAGCGACGGACGACTTGCCACGAGGAGGATCCGGTCATGCCAAAGCCCAGCTCGGGACACGCAGAGGGGTTTCCTAGCGTGCCCGTGAGCGCCTCTCAGTTGAGCCGATCGGGGATGCTAGGTCACGCCAACCTCCCTTCGCGCATCGCGCAAATCGCAAAGCGGAAGGCCTCTCTCCTGCGTCTGCCCCTGCTCCTCTCCCTCGTTCCCCTACCCCCCGCTTCACGTCCTCGTCCTGATTACTTCTCCGCTCTCCTCATCTATCCTCATCCGTCCTCCTCCTCCTTCCTGCTCGAATGACATCTCTCCTCCTCCCTCCTCCCCCCCTGATCCCTCCTGTCCCCGCCTCTCTCTTCCTCCATCCGACCTTCTCCCTGGAGAAAGACAAGAGGGGAAAGAAGAACAATCATGACGATACGACGTGTCAGCAATATCATGCAAATCCGCCGATCTGGCGTGTGAGTTTAAAAGAGCCTATTAAGCTGCAGCCTGCAGCCTGAGCTTCATCTCTGCCGGGGGGGGGGGGGCGGGGGGGGGGGGGGAATCTGCCGGGGAAGGTGCGGTGGGGGGGGGGGGGGCCCTGCTCCGCCTGTGCTCTGCTTTCTGGGCGGGGCTGGGACACGTTAAACAAATCTGCCAAATTCCCACCCCGGAGGTCAGAGAGCCGAAGATGACCGCGAGATGTTTCCCAGACGACTCAAAATGCACCCAAGATGGCCCAGGATGCCCTCAAGATGGCCCAAGAGCGCGCCAAAGACGACCCCAGAGGCCTGAAAGAGGTCCTCCAGGAAGGTCCGAAGAGTCCCAACTCAGTTATTTTCTACATTTTCTTGAAAGATTTGGGCGCTTTATTCTTTTCCGCACTCCGACGGCCGAAGACGGCCCCAGGGGCCCCCAAGATCACCCCAGAGGCTTCCAAGATGGCCCCCTGACGGCCCGAGAGGCCACTGAGACGGCCCTAAGAGGGTTCCAAGACGGCCCCATAGGTCTCCAAAACGGCCAAGATGGCTTCCAACACGGCCCTGAGACGCCCCCGGAGGGCTCCGAGACGGCCCAGCGAGGCGCCCAAGACGCCGTCAGACAGCCGAAAAGGCTTCTCAGAAGCCCCCAAGAGGCTCGAAGATCCTCTCATGAGGCCTCCTCCTACGACGGCCCCTTAGGCCTCCAAGCGAACCCTGGCGCTGCTCCTCCGCCCTGGGCATGCGGGTGGCAGGATTTTGACCACAGTGGTGCGTTTTGTTTTCGTGCTGCTTTGGTTATCCCTCGTTTTGTCTTCGTTCCGCCGGTTTGCTGCAAACCGAAGTCGAAGCGAACACGGCACAGGATATCGACCAAACACCACGCCAAGTGCTGCCTCGCCCAAGCTGGGCGCCTGGCGACAAACGTGAACAGCGACTCCAGGATGGGCTGGCCGCTTCCAGCCACCTTCGGGACAGCCCCGCGGCGGGAGGACCGATGCTTCTCATGCGAGGCGGGGGGCTATCCGCCTCCACTGCCTGGGTAACCGACGCCCTGAGTCCCCAGCGGGCGCTGGATACGGGCACGTCTTGGCGCCAGAGAGCCCGATTACACGATCCAGGGAGAGTCCAGAGTTCCCACGTCCACCCCACAGATGGCATGAGCCCAAGGTTTGACGTCGAAGAAGACGAAGACGACCACGACGACGGAGGACGACGACAAAGACCTCCGACATCTCCCGTAAGCTGGGAACCCCTGAACTTCCGAGCTTCCAGGGTGTAGCCCCCCGACGCCTGAAGCACCCGCAGCATCGACCGACGCCCACAGCGCGCTCACGCTCACTCTTTGTCCGCAGCGAGAGCGGACGCTCACGCGCCCAAACAGCGGACGCGCCGCCCCGGGCTTTGGGCACACTGAGACAGATAAAAAAGAGAAGGGCCGCAGAGGAAACTCGGGAGGCAGCCTCAGACGTAGAGGGTCCACGCCGTCAGGAGCGCGCAGGCAAACTCAGGCTGCGGGAACTGGTGTGCACGTAGGTCTGTGCGGATCAGCGCGTGCTGCCCAAGGGGGAGCAGCGCCGGGGACCATCGGGGGGCAAGCCGTCATCCGTGGCCGGCGGGCAAAATGCCGTAGCGGGTACCAAGACCTTTGGCTGTCGTATTCGAGAATTGGCGAGCCAGGGGTGACCAGGCTCCTGCTCGCGCTCAGACGCGCACGCACGTCAACCCAAGTACGCACGCCAATCCACAACCACCACCACCACCACCACCACCACCACCACCATCGCCACCCCCGTCACAACCACCATCACATCACACCACAGGGGAGGGGGGGCATCAGGGGCAAGGGGACCAAAGGGGGGTGGGCCCTGAAACCTGCATCACTGATCCGCATCCAAAGCCTACCAAAGTCCAGGAAAATCGGTTCGGGCGGTGGATATGGATCAATTCGCACCTCGGATTGAAATTCGGGTGTTCTAAGAGACACCTGGTGGCTGTGATGAGGCTGCCACAGAAGCGCGTGGCTGGAACGCAAAAGCACCGATGTCTTCACTGCCGACGCTGCTCCGTGGTCATCATGCCATCGTTCCCGAAGCGGGCTTTTGCGAAGCATCTCAACCACCGTAACTTGCCATCGCTCGGACGTCCATTCCTCGTGTATTTTTCGATTTCGTGCGTGCTTGTTTCGCTTAGTCATCCACGATGCTCCTCCATGGTCCTCTCCGAAGAAAAAATGCACACGTCTGAGCGATGCCAAGCGTAAGGGGGCAGAGGCAGCGAAGGATCCCGCCGCCGCCCCTCCCTGGCGCCCTCCCTCGGACGCTTCGGTTGGTGACGTACCATGGCCGTCGTGCCCTCGGCGTACCATCCGGGACCAGCGCCAAACTTAGTTGCCCCGATACGCAACACGCGACACGTATCGTATTGATACGGACCTCAACACGTAGGCTGAACACGCGGGTCCGACGCGACACCTTCGCCAAAACATGGTCCAATACGTGGAGCCAACACGCAACGTATTGACACGGACGTCTTGAACACGGGACGTGTTGCGTCTCAAAACGGGCGTATCGAGGCAACTAAGGCGTCAGACTGTTGCCTCCATCGCCGCCATCGCCGCAGCCACGTCTTACCACTGTTACCAAGAGGCCTGGCGATCGCAAGGAAACCCAAACCGACGAACTCTGCCGCAGCGGTCTACACATCCAACCAGCAACTGTACATGCAAATGGACGACTGGCGGCAGCAGCAGCAGCACGACCTGGCAGCAGCAGCAGCAGCAGCACGACCTGCGCAGATGCCGCTGCCACTGGCCGTCATGAACGACAACACATCACGTGTAGCAGCGGCACCGTCATTGCCACTCTTTGCTACTCGCTCTGGAGGAGGAGGCGGAGGAGGAGGAGGCGGAGGAGGAGGAGGAGGAGGCGGAGGAGGAGGCGGAGGAGGAGGCGCAGGAGGAGGAGGCGCAGGAGAGGGAGAAAGAAGGCCAGGAGGAGGACGACGGCGAGAAGGCCTCCTCGGAAGCTCTCCGCCCTCGGCCAGGACTCCGGCGGCCACGCGCGCCCGGCGGCCAGGCCACGCCGCGACCGGGCGCCCCCCCGCGCGAGGGCCCGACGCGCCGACCTCTGAGGCCGGGCTGCGGCCGCCGTGGCGCTCCAGCGGCCGCCCGCCGGGCAGCGGCTCGGCGACAGGCTGGACGCGCGGGCGGTGCCAGAAGCCCCAGCTCGGAACGTACTTTCATCTCTCGGGAATGAGCGACCCTGCTCGATCCCACCTTCGCCTAATTATCCCCTGCTCTCCTCGACCTCTCCTCGTCGTCCTCTCTGTCTTCGCCGCCTCCCCCGCCCTATCCCCCACCCCGCCTCGCCGCTGCCCTGCCCCTCTCTCCCCTGCTCGAGCTCCGTCTGTCCCCCCCCCCCGCCCCGCGGGAGGAGGGCCCGGCCCCCCTTCAACTTCCCCACTCCGGGAGGGGATGGGATCGGCTGCACGTGAGAGTGACCTCTGGGCCAGAGTGGCCTCTGGTGCGCGGCTTGTGGGGGGGAGCGCGAGGAGGCCCAGACGCCACCGTCGCGGCGAGCGCGGCGATGGGGGTTACCCCCGCGAGCGCGCACCAGGGGTCACTCCGGCGAAGGGTCCCTCTATACGTGCAATCGAACTGCTTGCTGCCGCCAGCCTTCGGCCGCCCTCCGCACGCGCAGCCGCCCTCGGCTTGCGTCCGCCGGCTTCCGCCGACCTTCTGCCGACCTTCCGCTGGGGACGAGACGTCCACGCCTTCGGTCCTCGGGGGCGAGGCCCTCCCTGGCACGCCCCGCGCGGAAAACCCGTGATGGCTGACAGCTCTGGCCGCGACCGGCAGGCTGCCACAGGGTGCCGCCGCTGCGAAGGACAGGCGGCGGATGCGAGGCCACCTCCGCCCGCATCTGGATCTCCATCGACGAGCGCCCGACCCACGTCACCTCCGCGCGCACGTGCGCGCGTGGGGTGGAGGGACCTCTTGCCCCTCCCTGCGTCCGCCGTCCGCTCTCGCCACTTGGCCACCGCTTCTCGTGTTCCTTCTGTCCCGCTCCGCATGCCGCTCGCTGGGACCCACACCGTGACCGCCACGGCGCTCGACGCGTGACCGTCGAGGCAAAAGGTGACGGGGGCGATGTCGTTGCCAGAACTTTGACATGCGGACAAGGGGATTCGCAAGAGGAGGCGCCGGAGCAGGGGACCCCGGCGGCGGCAGCCTCGCCACCGAGGCCGCCACCCGCAGCAGCGCCAGCAGCAGCATCAGCAGCGGCAGGAGCAGGCAGAGTGACGAGAAGCGGCAGCAGAAGCAGGTGCAAGATGCAAGAGCCGGGGCAAGAGTTGAATATCGGACTTGAAGAGCAAAGGTAGGAACATGAACGAGAGCAAAAGCAAGAGAGGGAAGGGTAGAGGGACACCGCAAAGGGGCACCATCAAGAAAAGGAGGGGCAGAAACAATTGAAGCAAGGGCAGGAAAAACGGAACGGCAGCAGGAGAGCGAGTAGTGGAAGTCAAAGCAGGAACGGGAAAGAGGAGTGCAACGTGGATGGCGAGAATGGCGAGGAGTAAGATTTCTTTTTCGTAGACGCGGGAACGCGACCCTGCGGTCCGACCATGCCCTCCACTCTCCTCCGCCTCCTCCACCTTCTCTGGAAACCTCCCAGATGGAAGCAAAGCGGAAGGAGGAGGAAGAGGAAGGGAGGATGAAATTACGAACGAACGCGGCTTCGAACATGTGATGCATAGGCGGACTCACGTCGCAACCACCATTCAGTGCTTCTGGCGGCTGAGGAGGAAGAGGATAATGAAGAGGAGGATGGATTGTTCGCCCATGCCGCTTGACTTGCAAGGGATCGTCAACGAATAGACCACAACTGAAACGAATGCCACTCCAGGTTGAGGCTCTGGGGCGGTTTTGTTGCAATTGACTGTGACCGGACCACTCGATGCGATGCTGTGCACCGTGAGTGTCGAGGTATGTGCTCATCAGTCGTCGTCAACGACTTCGGATTGCAACGATCAGGGGAATACTGTCGAGTTGTGCATGGCATAGCCCGCGCTGGAGGTAGAGCTTCAGCGCCACCTTGAACTAGTCGATATGCGTTATGCGCTGGACGAGACATGGGTGCTTGTCAGCGAAGCACCGCTGCGTGAGCAGTGGTCTCAGCGGGTGGCCTCTCTCAGGGAGAGAGCTGCGCTGCATGAGCGTCTTCCGGGAGTTGATCACGGGTCTGGCCGGCTTCTCAGGAGGCACGCCCGCGCGAGGCGCCGAAGGAGGTGGCTCAGCACGAGCTCTCGCGCGCCCGACGCGCCTGCATCGGGGGGGGACGCCTGGGCGCAACGGGACGGCCACCAGTGGCCCGAGCTTCTCCGGAGGCGCCCGTGCCTGCTGGGACCCCTGCTCCGGGCGCCGCCGTCCAGGACCCCGCTGCGCTCTGCTCCCAGGCTCGGGTCGGGCCTGCCCTCCTACGGGGGGATCTTGCACGAAAAATGAAAAAATATTCCAAACATGCCCCAAAATGCTCAAAAACTGCCAGAAAATAGTCCCCATACTACTTTTTGACTATCTTCAAGTCTTCCCCCTGTAGAGGGACAGGCCCGATTTAATCCCAGGCCGCTGCTGCTCCCGCTGCGCGCGCGAGCTCGCAGGAGCCGCCCTCTCGCCTCTAGCCCTCGCGCCGCCGACGCACAGTCCGACGCCATCGAGAGGGCTGCGGCTACGGCCCACCGGGTCCGTCTGCAGCTGCGCCGCGGACGTCGCGCCCTCCCCGGGCATGCTCTCTGGAGCAGGGCCTCGACGCAGGCGGCGTTGCGCCCCGAGGGGCGGGGACAGCACGTGGCTGCTCGCGCGAAGACAGCTTGGGGCCCTCGACGTCACTCTGCGCAGGGTCGCCAGCGTACTGGAAGAGCCCCAGCCTGAAAACTTCCAGATGAGCGACGATCAGAAAGGGGTCTCGCGCGAGGCAACGTAGCGACCCCACACCGCGGCCTACGCGGGCCGCCCGCGCGGCACGGTGCATTGGAAGCGAGGGCACTCACGCGCGACCTTCCGCGGGCAGCTTACGCGCCACTGCCAGCGCCGACGACCCCCTTATTTTGCGTCGATCAGATGGACAAGTTCTGAATGTGTTTTCATCGATCGCAACACAGGTGTACACCATTGGGACACCCAGCGTCGGCGAGGCTATCCTTGAAGCAGCTCGCAAAAAGACGATCAGGAGGAGAAGGAAGAGGAGGAGGACAAAAAATGAGAAGAAGACCCGATGGAACAGCTCTGAGTGTACTCGACACCTGCCCCAAGTCCTTCTGTACTGCTGCGAGCATGCCGTTCTGACCTGGGCTGGCTCACGGCTCTCGGAACGCCCCCGAGCACACCTGAGGTTCCGTCGGGTGCCTGGAGCGGGCCCCTGCAGAACATCCCTGGCGCCGAAGGGCGCCCCGATCGGCCGCAGGGGGGGCGGCCCGGGACTGCGACGACTGGAGCTCAACAGCCACGAGAACCGCACTTGCAGCACGGACGGATGGGCCCTGCAGTTGCCTCGAGCGTGAGCGAGCCCACGGAGCCCCTGCATCATCGCCACACGACCTGTGAGCCGATGCCAGAAGCAAAAGGCGAGCCACCCCCTGAACAGACGAGGCGTGTTGTCCTGCCTCGCGCGGAGCTGAACGATCTGGCTCGCCTGCCACTGGAGCGAGGCCTCCTGCCCCTGCCCGAGGCGCCGCGGTGCCCGTCGCATCTGCCGCGGAGACACCTCATCGAGCGATTCGGAGATCCCCAGATGCCTACCGGCAGTCTCTTTCTCGATGGACCTCTGTTCTTGGACTCCCTGAGCGCGGCACTGCCGCGCGGTCCGCTGCTGCGCTCGCACGGCGACGCCGCGGCGGCTATACCATCCGCTGGCCCCCTGCCCCCGCTGCAGGACACCGAGGGGCAGAGCCTCGCGCCCTGCCTGCGGCACCCAGGCTTGCAGCGCCCGCGGGATGAGACCCGAAGGCCCGGACGGCTGAGCCGAGGGAACGCAGCTCGTCCGATACAAAGCGCCGTGGCAGCGCGGATAGCAGGGCAACTGGACGCCGAACCTCGGCGCCGAGACGTGCGACGCCCTGATGTTTCCAATACGGCGTCCCCGGGAGTCCAGACCGGGACCTGTTTTGCACCCTGAATCGTTTTTTGACTGCCCCGGGGCCCAGCGAGGGCCCCCCGAGGCCGAAAATGACAGAAAACCTCCCGTCCTGTTTTTTTCCTACGACGCGATCATGTCTGGGTTTGTGTTTGTGTTTTGGCTTCCCCTCCTGGCGTGCTCCTGCCAAGGAGAGACACCGTAACCCTGCGGTTGGCCCTTGCCCGGACAGAACACCTGGGCGACACAACCCGAAGGGAGGTGCCCAAGGTGCCTGCTTGAATTCACAGGCAGTCGGACCTCGCAACATGAACGGCGGCACAGACCCGCCCCAGGCGTCACATCTGCGCCGCCGTTGCGAGGCGCCTCGAGATGCCACCCCGAGACACGGCCACCGGAACCACCCCCACTAGGCCGCCGGCCTCAAGCAGCGGAGACCCCGCTGCCCAAGGACTTAAGTCCCCGCGCCCCCCACGTCGGGGGACCCCTTCGAGTAACCCCATCGGGCCTGATAACGGCGGGCCCGCACCTACTGCGGCTGGCCAGCCACAGGGCAAGAGTCTCTCCCACAGCCCCGTCAGGCTGTGGTGGCGATCGGGCTGCCAACCCGCCTGTTTTCCTGGGGCGCCACGAGGATACACAACGGCACAGGTGCCAACCTGGTGTTTGCCCCACCGCCAGCAGCCCTGGATCGGTGCAGCCTCGGACCGCAAGTCGCAGGCCGCCGTGCCAGCGCCGACCTCGCAGAGCGCGAGCGCACGGACCGTGCCCGGGCGGCTGCGGGACCAAAAGGTACAAACCACCACCACCGGCCTCCCCCGCCTCCTCCTCCTCCTCCTCCTCCTCCTCCTCCTCCTCCTCCTCCTCCTCCTCCTCCTCTCCTCCTCCTCCTCCTCCTCCCCCCCCTCCTCCTCCTCCTCCCCCTCCTCCTCTCCTCCTCCCCCCCCTCTCGGCGGTGGACAAACCTCCCTTTAGTAAACCACCCTTTAGTGAAAACGGCCTAGAACCGAACCCCACAGACCTGGACCCGCAAAAATAACGGCTGTGACGCCCTCTCGGGAACCGAAAACGGCCAATTCACTAATCGATGAGGTCTATCCAACTCCGACCCTCCCTCTCCCAGGAAAGAGGCGAGGAGGAACAGGGTGGAGGAGGGAGGAGGGATCGGCTGTGGTGGTGGTGTATGCAGCGTGCACAGGCTACAACGGGACCCAAAGGTCTATACCACACCACTAGGGGAACGAACAATGACACAAACATGATAAGTCGGAGGACCGCGCGGATTCCTCGGATCGGCGCTGGGGTCCCCTGGCGGCGCCTCCAGCGCCGCCCCTGGCGCGCTCCGCGCGCCAGGGAGGGGGTCCAGCGCGGATCCAAGAAATCCGCGCGGACCTCCGAGTCATTATGTTTATGTCATTGCTCGTTCCAATAACCACCACCACCACCCTCACCCCCTCCCTCTCCCAGGAAAGGGGCGAGGGAGAGCAGTGCAGAGGAGGGAGGAGCAATCGACGTGGTGGTGGTGGTGGTGGTGTATACTCTTTGGGGACAGCAGCTGGTGTACACAGCATTCCAAGGTGCTGGCCAACCCGCGTGGACACGATATCTCGCTGCTGCGATACTGTCCCGTGCAGTCTCCTTTTGCGCCGCAGGTGCGGCTCGTGCGGCGAGTCCAGCTCCAGGGGGGGGGGGGTCAGAAGGAGTGCCCATGGGCCCCCTGGGCGCGCCCGAATAATGGTAAGGGCCCTGCAGCTACGGAGGGCTCTCGCAGGACAACGCCCAAAAGGAAGAGCGGATACCGCGGTGGCGTTGACCAGCCCCCTGCCCGTCGCCCGAGTCGTGAGAGAACCTGCGGGAGACGAGCCAGCCAGCATATGGCGGCAAGCTCCAGAGACAGCCGAACACACTCCATCTGCGCTCTGATCCTCCCTCCCTCCCTCCCCCCTCCTCGCTAGCTGCAGGGTACTGTACTCAATGGAAGCAGGTGTCGATGCCACCTACACCAAAAAACAAACACGACTCCACCGATACGTTGACCAGTCAGAACCCTCCTCGCTTAGTCCCTCCCTCTCTCCTCCTACTCCCTCCTCCTTCCACCTCCTCCTCCTCCCTCCTCCTCCCTCCTCCCTCCTCCTCCCTCCTCCTCCTCCTCCTCCTCCTCCTCCTCCTCCACCTCCTCCTCCTCCTCCTCCTCCTCCTCCTCCTCCTCCTCCCTCCTCTCCTCCTCCTCCTCCTCCTCCGCCGCCGCCGCCGCCGCCGCCGCCGCCGCGCCGCCGCCGCCTCCTCCTCCCTCCCCCTCCTCCTCCTCCTCCTCCTCCTCCTTCTCCTCCTCGTTCCTCCCTTCCTCCCTCTCTCCCTCCCTCCCTCCCCCCCTCCCCCCCAATCCCGGGAAGAGGGAGAGCTCGTGGCGGGGCAGTGGACGGCGCGCGGATAACTACGCGCCTTGCCGCCGAGCACCACGTCCTCGGTCAGGCTCGGCCTGCCGGGCGGCCGGAGCTCCTCCCCCTCCTCGGGAGAGGGACCCTTTTTTGGGGCGGGGGGGGGGGCAAGTCCCCCCACCCCCCCCACAAAAAAAAGTAATTGTTTGTTTGTTGGGGGGGGGGGCACCTTTTTGTGGGGGAAAGCCCCCCTGCACATGGGAAAATCCAGGGCCACGCCAACGGCGATGTTTGATATCGGCGATAACGGAGCCCAAAGATCTGAGGACACGATGGTTTTCAAGCTGGCGGCGACCATCAAAAGTGGATCCGGGACGAAAACCTAGCCACGGGGAGGGGGTCGGGGACCTCCTGGGCCGCGGATTGGCAAGATCAGATCGAGATCGGCGGACGTCCGGGGAGGGCCGCGACGCCAACGGGGCCCGAGCGGGGGGGGGCGGGCTCGGAGCGGGGGCACAAAGCTGCCGCTGGTCGATGTGCAGTCGTTGATCGGCGCGGGCGCCCCCGCGCAAGCGGCGCCGAGGTCTAGCCGTTCATTCTGTCATGTTTTCCTCCTCCTCCTCCTCCTCTTCCTCCTCCTCCTCCTCCTCCGCCTCCTCCTCCTCCTCCGCCTCCGCCTCCGCCTCCGCCTCCGCCTCCGCCTCCGCCTCCTCCCTCTTTGTCTCCTCTCCCTCCCCCCTCCTCCTCCCTCCTGCGCCCTCCCCCCCTCCTCCACCATCCCCTTCCTCCCCCCTTCCCCCCTCCCCGTTCCTCCCCCCTCCCTTCCCCCCCCCTCCCACCTTTCTCTATCCACTGCCCCCCCTTCCCCCCTCGCTCCGCCCCTGGACGCGTCCCCCCGCCCTCCCGTCAGCAGCCACAGCTGAGAGGGTCGTATTCCGTGCCCCCCTGGGGGAATCCATCGTGGCATTAGGTCGGGCATGTCACCCTACAGGGGTATTGTGGACGAAAAATGAAAAATATTCAAAAATTACCCTGTGACGTACCCAACCCATTTGTATTTGGCCGAAACTTGCATGGACAATCAACTTGATGTGTAAGCTACTTGGGACACGCGCCTATGGCATGATGCGCAGGAGAACCATACAAGAACGAGGGGCGACAGCTACAGGCTCAAAGCGGAAATGGGGAGTCGGGAACGCAGAGCAGGAGAAAAACGTGCGGGAAGCCGAACCATCAGCACGGCAGCAGCAGAGGGAAGGTGACTGCAGGAGGAGAACAAGGACGAAAGCGGCGTCTAATTTGAGTCTGCGGTGGGTACCCACTGTGCTGTGCCCCTCAGCAGCCCTCGAAAGTGGCGACAGTTTCACAGATCGCAGCCCCCCAGGGATGGCGAGGTCTAATTTGAGTCCGCGGTGAGTACCCACTGTGCTGGGCCCCCCAGCAGCCCTCGAAAGTGGCGACAGTTTCGAGGTCTAATTTGATCGCACCCACTGCCCCCCAGCAGCCCTCGAAAGTGGCGACAGTTTCACAGATCGCAGCCCCCCAGGGATGGCGAGGTCTAATTTGTAATCACTGTGCTGGCCCCCCAGCAGCCTCGAAAGTGGCGACAGTTTCAGATCGCAGCCCCCCAGGGATGGCGAGGTCGAATTTGAGTCTGCGGTGAGTACCCACTGTGCTGGGCCCCCCAGCAGGCCTCGAAAGTGGCGACAGTTTCACAGATCGCAGCCCCCCAGGGATGGCGAGGTCTACGACAGTTTCACAGATCGCAGCCCCCCAGGGATGGCGAGGTCTAATTTGAGTCCGCGGTGAGTACCCACTGTGCTGGGCCCCCCAGCAGCCCTCGAAAGTGGCGACAGTTTCACAGATCGCAGCCCCCCAGGGATGGCGAGGTCTAATCTGAGTCCCCGTAAGACGTCACTGTGCTGGGCCCCCCAGCAGCCCTCGAAAGTGGCGACAGTTTCACAGATCGCAGCCCCCCAGGGATGGCGAGGTCAAATTTGAGTCACCGTAAGACGTCACTCCGCTGAACCCGCCAGCAGCCCTCGAAAGTGGCGACAGTTTCACGGATCGCAGCCCCCCAGCGATGGCGAGGTCTAATCTGAGTCCCCGTAAGACGTCACTGTGCTGGGCCCCCCAGCAGCCCTCGAAAGTGGCGACAGTTTCACAGATCGCAGCCCCCCAGGGATGGCGAGGTCTAATCTGAGTCCCCGTAAGACGTCACTGTGCTGGGCCCCCCAGCAGCCCTCGAAAGTGGCGACAGTTTCACAGATCGCAGCCCCCCAGGGATGGCGAGGTCTAATCTGAGTCCCCGTAAGACGTCACAACTCCGCTGAACCCCCCAGCAGCCCTCGAAAGTGGCGACAGTTTCACAGATCGCAGCCCCCCAGGGATGGCGAGGGGCAAGCGACGTAAAAGGCAAGAGAGAAGAGGAGGACCGAAGTTGAGAGGTGAAGGGAAGCAAGAGAGAAGAGGAGGAGCGAAGAGAGGAGAAGGGATGCAAGAGAAAAGAGGAGGAGGAGGAGAAGGGAGGAGAGGAGGGGGACGGGAAGGAGGAGGAGGGGAGACGCGACCGCAGTGCTCTATTCAACACGAGTACCCAACGCAGGAGGGTTGGGAAATACCCAAACAAAGTCAAACACACTAAAACAATCCTCCCCACACTATTTTTTGACTATTTTTGAATGTTCCCCCTGCAGGGGGACAGGCCCGACTTTGTCGTAGCGACGACCTCGCGGGGGGGGATGTCGGAGCCAGTGGGCCACCCAGGGGTGTGTGATACGATTTTGCCGAATTTTGTATCATCGGTTCCGCTGCCATTTCAAGTTCCGCCGTGACAAGCACGGCTGCAGGGCACTCACAGGCCCCCAGGCCCACTTCACCACAAGAAGGCACACGATTTGTTAACACCATTCCTGTTCATCAGGTGGCAGAGCATGTCAATTTGTGGCGAGGTGCGCCAAGTAGTTCTTGGCGCTGCAATTCCAGTGTTTGTGGCCGCACGCGCCTGCCAGGAAAAGGATACCAGGAAGGATAGGGGGCGAGGACCGCCACTCCCCCGGCTGCGGCTGGAAACCGTGCCCCCGCCCCCTCCGCGGGGCTGCGGCCGCCCGGCGCCTGTGCATGTACTTGATGCGGTCCACGCTGGCGGTCACGATGTGCAGCCCAGCCCCGCCGGGGCCGCTGGCCCTGCTGCGGAGAGAGAGAGAGAGGCAGGCCACGAGCGGCGGGCACGTCCGTGCCCGCGCCCTCGCGGTCTGGACTCCGGGGCGCGAGCCCGCGGTCACGCCGTCGCACGGAGACGTCTCGCCGCGGGACATCCGCGACAAAAACGCACCGCATCCGCGGGGTCGCGGCCTGCGGGCCCGGCCCGCGAGGCCGCGGATGGTGACGCGCGTTGCTTACCACGAGTATGGGGTCAGACTGGTAGGGCGCCCCTGCTGCTAAAGGGTTGAGGAGGGAGGAGGGGCGAGGCAGACCGAGAAGGCGAGAGGGGGGGGGGGGGCGGAGGGAGGGGGGGGAGGCGGGAAGAAGCAGGGATCGACCTCAACAGCGCTCCTCGTTTTCGTGTTGCTTTCGTTTGTCCCTCGCTCCGTCTTCCACCCGCCCGCGCTGCGGAACGGGATCGACACGACAATATGGCCCACGGAGCTCGCCGCTGCACCGGGCAAGCCACCCCCCTGGCGGGAGCAAGCGGGGGAGGAGCCAGGAGGGAGCACGGAGCGGAGGACCTGCACCTCGGGCCCACTGCGGCGAACACGCGTCAGCACGCCAGCGACGAGAGGCAGCCGCCCGCCGCGGGGGCCCGCGGCTCCCGCGCCAGGTGGGCCCCGGGCGTCGCACCCGCCCGGGGCCGAGGCTGAGCCGCCCACTCGAGGCCAGCGGCCCGGGGCCCTGTCAGCGCTGGCATCAACTCACCCCCAGGACGACCGCAGGGCGGCCCGTATGGCCACGAAGACACCCCAAGAGGGCCCCTAGGACCCCACAAGAGGGCCTCCACAAGCAGTCATCACGGATTTGCCATAGCGTCTGAATCTGAATCGTGTTCGACTTCTCGCCTTGTCGAGTTCCTCAAAACCCAAGACGGCCCAAGAGACCGCTAGGACCTTCGGTGGAGCTCCACATGTTGCCACGAAACGTGTGAGGGGCATGCCGGAATGGGGAGTGGAACCGCATGCGGGCGCTGCCACTGGGGTCACAGGTGGAGCTCCCAACGGGGAAACGAAATCTAAAAGGGGTGCGCCGAGATGAATGTGGAACCGCGGAAGAGCTCCCTATGGTGCCACGAAACGTATGTGGGGTGCGCCGAGATGAATGTGGAACCGCACGCCGGCGTTGCCACTGGGGCCTTCGGTGGAGCTCCCTACGGGGCCACGAAGCGTGTGAGGGGCGCGCCGAAATTGGAAGTGGAACCGCATGCAGGCGCTGCCGCTGGGGCCTTCGGTGGAGCTCTCTACGGGGCCACGAAACGTGTGAGGGGCGCGCCGACAGGGGGAGTGGAAGCGCACGCGGGCGCTGCCACTTCGCGTGTGCTTCGGACAAGTGCGAAAGCTTCCTTGAATCGCGACCGTGCTATTTTCAACTCGAGTCGCATCCCATGGCGAGGCAGTCTGCCTGGCGGCGGTGTAGCTTCTACGCCCTGCAATTCGCGGCGCAGGCCCTCCACGTCGTGGGTGCCGTTCATGCGAACCGCGCAGGCCTTCAGGCGAACCGGGTATGCTTCCGCGGTCTCCTCCCAAAACCGCCTCGGGAATATATAGGTCAACTTGTCCCGCGTCAGGCCGGCGACGACGGAATCCTCGTGAAACCGTTGTGGAGCCAAGCAGGAAATCTGTGAATTTACATGGCGTCGTCAAACTTGCAGCGCTGGAGCCCCGTGGAGCTATCGTGGAACCAAGCAAGAACCTTGTAAATTTATTCGGTGTCGTTGACGTGCAACGTCAGAACCATCGGGGAAACAAACTGGAACCAAGCAGGACCCTGTAACTTCGCAGGGCTTCGTGGGCGAACCATCGTGGAACCAAACTGGAACCACGTAGGAACCTTGTGATTTCACCAGGTTTCGTGGGCGTGCAGCGTCGGAGCCATCGTGGAACCAAACCGGAACCACGCAAGAATCCTGTGAATCCAGACGGGTTCGCAGAATTCGAAGCGTCGGAATCCTCTTGGAACCAGGGCGGAGCCACTGCCCCCCGTAAAACGACAGGGATCCACGCGGCTGGGCTCCCCGGCCCTCCTTCCATCGCAGTGCGAATCAAGCACGGCCCACGGCCCATCCGCGCCGCTCCGCCCCGGGTCGGCGTGGGGGGCTATCAGTGTCAGAGGGAGTCCGCCTGGGACCGAGCCTCCCCCGTCATCGGAAACAGTGGGGAGCGGCCGCACAAGTGGTGCTCCTGGCTCGGCTTGTCGCGGCCCCGCTCGTGCTCCGAGCTGGGCCCCCCCTCGGCCTGGTCGGCGGCGCCCTGGGGCCCATCTCCTGCCAGACGCGCCAGAACCAGCAGGAGGCGAGGGAAGCTGCGGGGACGTCGCCGGCGCCTGCCACACGTGCCTTCCGACGTACACCTCGAGTGCAGTCGTCGTGATCCACTCATGTGCCCGCCCCCTCCCCGGAAATCAAAGTCGAGGGCACAATTCGCAAGTGTCTGATGGGGCCATGACGCGTGCGAGGGGTGCGCCGAACCGCGGGGTGGAACCACGTGGGGGCGCTGCCGCGGGGGCCTTCAGTAGAGCTCCCAGTGGTGCCACGAAGCGTGTGAGGGGCGCGCCGAAATGGGGGATGGAACCCCATGCCGGCGCCGCCACTGAGAGGTGCACCGAAATGGGGGTGGAACCGCATGCAGGCGCTGCCGTTGGAGCCCTCCGCGGACTTCCCTACGGGGCCACGAACCGTGTGAGGGGTGCGCCTACATGGGGAGTGGAACCACATGCTTCGGTGCAGTCCCCTGTGGGGCCATGAAACGTGTGAGGGGTGCGCCGAAATGGGGAATGGAACCGCATGTGGGCACTGCCACTGGGGCCTTCGGTACAGCCGCCTGTGGGGCCGCGAGACGTGTGAGGGATGCGCCGAAATGGGGAATGGAACCGCATGTGGGCACTGCCACTGGGGCCTTCAGTGGGGCTCCCTGTGGGGCCGCGAAACGTGTGAGGGATGCGCCGGAGTGGGCGGGTGGAACCGCACGCCAGCGCACGTGCGGGTGGCGTGCCAGATGGACGTGCGGAGGTCGGAGGCAGGGGCGGGAGGAAGGAGGAAGAGAGGAGGAAGGAAGGAAGGAGGAAGAGAGGAGGAAGAGAGGAAGGAGGAAGAGAGGAGGAAGAGAGGAAGGAGGAAGAGAGGAGGAGGAAGGAGGCAGAGAGGAGGAAGAGAGGAGGAAGAGAGGAGGAAGAGAGGAGGAAGAGAGGAGGAAGAGAGGAGGAAGAGAGGAGGAAGGAGGAAGAGAGGAAGGGAGGGAAGGAACGCGGGGCGATGCGTCTTCACAACGCGGGTATCCGAAGCCACAGAGGACAGAGGATGCGTGGGAAACAGAGCGCCTCCTGGACTGCCCCCCTCCTCCGTCGGCCTCCCCGGCTTCGCCGCTCACCCCTGCCCCGCCTCCGGGCTTGGTGCTACGTTCTCTTTTTTTGTTTTCTCTCTCTCTCTCTCTCTCTCTCTCGCTCGCTCTCTATCTCTCAAGAACGACTGGCCCGGCAAGGTGCACCAATTGGTGCTACCTTTTCTTGTTGATCTCTCTATATATATATGTATATATATATATACATATATATATATATCAAGACCGACTGGCCCGGCAAGGTGCACCAAAAGCATGGAGGAGGGGGCAAACAAAACCTACCTCGCTTTTGACCACCCTCGCTTCCAGGAGATGCCAAGCGATGCCAGACTGCGGCCTGCATTGGTCAGGCCGCTCGACGAGGAGGCGCGTGGTATGACTCGGTTTTGCCTGGAAGCGAAAGCGGGTTAGGTAATTCACGCTCTGATGTATGGCCTTCCTGACACACTTCGAATCATGTCGCATCTAACGTTACCTATCTGCTCCGAGACGCCTGCCTCCTCCTCCTCCTACTCCTCCTCCTCCTCCTCCTCCTCCTCCTCCTCCCTCCTTCTCCTCCTCCTCCTCCTCCTCCGCCTCCTCCTCCTCCTCCTCCTCACGGCTAGCAGCCGGCATCCAGAAGCAGCGTAGACAAAAATCGGCCTGCAGGCTGCGCCTGTGGACAGCCCAAGCTGCTCTGACGCAACCCCAACGGCACCTTTCGTTTGTGATCTGCTGGTGCGAATTTTTGGACGCCCGGAATGGGTACGGAAAGAATGGGTACAATGCCCAACAACAAATGTTGTCCCGAACCAACAGCGGCCGCTGTTGGGCAGGCTGCCTTCTGTCTCAAATGGACACGGGCCGCGGCGGCGCGGACAGCGAGTCCTGTTCAAAATGAACAGGAACTGCTGTTGGGCATCGTACACATTCTTTCCGTACCCATTTCGGGCGTCCAGAGAATTGTGAGCAGGGGCCGACCGTCCCGGCATCCCTATAGGCCCACCACGGCATGTTCTTAGAATCCAAAGATGTTCTAAGAACAAGAACAACGTTCTTATAGCATAAACCCGACGTGTTAAAACAAGGGGGTCCCAGCCAGACATGTGCTAAGAACATGTCGTGGAAACCATAGAAGGCTCTTAGAACATTCTTCGGTAGGCCTGTAGGCGAGCCAGGACGCTTCGCCACTGCTTGAACAACATCATACTCTCCCTCGTCGTCCTAAGGACCCCGCCAGCCTGCAGTGATCGAACGCTATGGTGCCCGCCAAGGCGTCCAGGTCTTCCAACGGCCGGGCGCCAGCAATGGGCCGCCCCCCCCCGGAGCGCCACGCTACTTCCGGTAGCTGCGGGGAGGAAGGATGAAGAACGAGGACAATCAAGGAGGAGACAGACATAATGAGACGGGAAGAGCAAACAGAAAGGAAAACGAGAATCGAGGCGGAAGTGAGAAGGCAGGACGGACAAGGAGGAAGGAGGAAGGAAGGAGGAAGGAGGAAGGAGGAAGAGGAAATAAGGCAAACAAGGAAGAGGAGGAGGGAGGCCGAGGAGGAAGGAGCGCAGAGGAGCACGACGTGCCTCTATGCCCTAAGGCTC